GTATCCAGCTGGGGAGCCGGAGGCACCCTACTTGCAAGTAATATCCAGACTTGTGAAAAGGTCACCAGCACTGGCTTTTAGACCTCAGAGTACACGAAATATTAAAACTCAACACTGTGGTGCTATTGTGCACAGTAATGATAGTTTAGATACTTTGTACAGATTTCTGCAGGATTTTAACAATAAGTTATGCCTGTTTCCAAACCCAGTGTAGCTTTTGTTGGATAGGATATCTGCCTTGGGGAGGGGGTGGAGGGAGGTGTGTGGAAAAAGCATGGCCTTGGCGAAACTGTGAAGATGGCATGGTACAGAGATTTCAGTAGTTTTCATTTGGGATAATGACATCCATAAGTCACTCTGATATCACTCCCTTGGGCAGTTCAGGATGTCTTATGAAAATCTTTATTTCAGCTTGGTTTTAATAGTAAATCTCTGCATCTTCAGAAGCCACCTGCTATCTGAAAATAGTTTTTTTTATTAAGAAAAATGCATCCTCCATTTTAATACCAAATTTTGGCATGTAAAAATAACAATAGAGCATCTGAAACTCCATTTCCAAGCATTCCCCACCAGATCTCAACAAAGCAAGGATACAAGTGCATGGTTAAGAGAATAACAGCTCTGTCTAAGTCCAACAAGTCAAATCGTGCACCGGACCTCTGTGCGGGGAGCTCGGGGGCTGCAGTTGTGAGGCTCAGGCCTGCTTAGCTTGTGTTGCAGTTGTGTGACGTGCACAGGTGCTGCTGTAAACGCCTGTTTAACAGGTAGGAAATCAGAAGACTTAGTTTGTACTTTAATACTTAGTTGCGCATAAATTGCATCCTTTGCTGCTCCTTTCAAACCATGGCATTATTGCTGTTTCTCAAGAGACCCACTAGTATTTTAATTAACTTCAAATTTGCACTTTCATTTATTCTTGTATTTGTTAACCAAGCTTATATGAGACTGCCAAATTAGAAAGATATTGCTTACATATCTCATCACTTGAACTGTTCAAAGTACTGCATGAATTTGATCTCTTCACAAATATTAATCTGCCTTGGGGTTCTCCTGAGCACCCATTCACTGAGCTAAAAATCTGTGTTTGCGTGCTGGTGTTTGTTCCCGGGGGCTCATCTCCCTAGTGAGCATGTTTAAACAACTGAAGTGCTCTTACAATGAAACATTCAAATTCAATACTTTATTATTATGCAATCTGGGATTATTTTTTTTATCATTAGACTTCCTTCTGAACTGGGTGGTTGACACTCCCTGCTCCAAATTCCTGTCCCATGAGCTAGTTGTTTGGAAATACTGGCTGAGAGGACAAACACCATTACTTTTTTTTTTTTTTTTAATCTGGAGAAAGTGCTTTTTCACTAGGTATTTGGGATTAAACTGTAACTCGAAGGCAGGCCACAGAAACGGGATAAAGATCAAAAGGAAAAGAAAAGCATTACTTGGTAGATTGATACAGCTGGAAACGGCAAGCCTGATTCAAGGTGCTTTGAGAGTCAGAGGATTCTTGCACATGACTTAACTAGTTTCTGGATTAAACCTTGCATATGCCCTAGGAGAGGAATGTATACCTGCTCCAGCAGCATGTGTGCTCTGGAAAATAATATGAAACGCTTCTCTATATTGTGACAAACTAAGGCTTCATAGACACATTCGCTACTCAGAAAAAGTTATTTCTGATTAACTCCATGTCTAAACAATTTTAATGTCAAACGAGACTACTTTGACTTGACTTTCCAGTCAGATCAGTTTCTGTACAGAACTTCGCTCCTTGATCCATGTCCAAGAACATATTTATCAGGGAATTTATGCAACCCTTTAAATTCACTTCTTGAAGTGAATTGAACTAACTTTCATGTGTAAAACCCTTTGAAAGTCACCCATGTGTGAAGATTTCTCCGTCTTTTTCACATGTCCCATGATCTGGTAATCTTCTCCCTCAGAGTACTCCTGCCGAGCAGTCCATCTCTGCTGTGGGACAGCTGGATGGATGAGCTTCCCCTTTGCCCATGGGGACAAAAAGCAGCACGATGTGCTCTTCTCACACTGCTCAGGCTCTCCTGGGTGCACAAGGAGAGTGCCAAGATTTTGTAATGTTTCTCGGGGAGTTTTGTTTTTTCAAGCAGCTTAGCATTTAAAATACCACAGCCACTTGAAAAGCCAGCAGATCCTTCAGGTTGCCATGTCACAGGTTGCCAGGTTCCTGAAAACGCCTAGAGGAAAGCCAGTGCACCAAATCCCTTTCGCTGTTGTGCTGCAGCCGTTTGGGGGGCTCAGCCAGCTACGGCATTTAGAGTGCAGCTGCCTCCAACGGCGGCGGCGGTGGCCCGAGCGTTGTTTTGTTGTCGCTTCTGCAGAGGAGCGGCAGGAGCTTACATCATTTCCAGTAATGAAGTGCCTGGGGTTCTTTTATGACTTGCACACTCTGCTTCTCCAGAGCTGTACAGTATGTGCTGCGTGACTCCAGGAAACGGAGGATTTGTTTTGACTTGCTTAAAAGAACGTTTGCTGTTTCTCTTCACAATTTCACTGTATGACTTGTCAATTCTCTCCTCCTCTTAAGAATAACTTCAGATTTAATTAGCTGAGTGCAAACATCTTTCATTGCAGTGTGGATTAGACTCCTCATTGAGTACATTTATCAACAGAATTAAAGACAATCAGGCGTTTCTGTATTTATACTGTTGTGTCCAGAGTGCCCAGTAGCTGTTGATAGATAGTTGCTATTGACTTTCTAGTGGGGGATGACCAGTGATGTGGGGACCAGTCTTCTTAAGGCTTGCTTTTTGTTTTTGAAGAGCACTTTTCAAGTGTGTTTTATTACTATGTAGAAAAAATGATATTTATGTGCCCTGCTGGGATGTCCTGAAAGTGCTGGCGTGTTCCCAGGAGTTCCACCATGACTCTGCCTGGCATATTTTAAATGGTGCAGCTTATACTTTGCTGAATTGCAAAGTCGAATTGCACACAAACCTTAATTAGACATGTTTGGCATCAGCTTCCTGAAGCATTACCTAGATATATGCATGTGCATGTGCTTTGAATTCTTCAGTGTTGAATTTCAGTTTGCATTTCCACCACGCAGAGAACATTTTCCAGACCACGAACCATCTAGGTTGTTTCTGGGATATCATGACCCAAGAAGCAGCCTCCACAATTCTCTGTAAGTCCCGGAGTAAATGTTTGTGCTGTAGCAACAGCAGCCGGTTTACCTGAATGTGCACTCACAACAAATCCTTTTTGGCAGCATCAAAACCAGTGACAGATGGCAAAAAATTCTCAACCCTTCTTGTAAAATTGCCACCCTTTCCGTTAGTTCCATACATTTGTCTTGTCATAAGCACTTTAAAAAAACCACCTTTAACCCCCTTCAACTATTCACTTCCCCGGAGTTAAAATTTGACAAGTTCATTTTTAGCCATCTCTTCTCTCAAAAGTGCTGTGGTTTCTGTTTGAACCTTCAGAAGTGAATCATAGTTTCAAAACCCTCACTACCTTAGTGAAACACTCTTTTTCCATTAACATCCAACGTGTTTAACATGGGTTCAGACATGTTATCAGAAACTTATACTAGAGTCCTTAAAAAAAAATCCCGTGTGATTTCATGCCCTGGGAACACCTTTTATGCTCTAACTATTCCTACAGCTATTGGGAGATATGAGGCATATGGATCTGAGCTAGTCAAATTAATACCATAATGGCTTCTGGCTCGACAAGCACGTACAGTGCAAACAGAGAGCAGAACAGCTGTAGTAGTTACCTTTTATGTGGGTGGCATAGACGTCTGCCAATTAAAATGATCTGATGAATCGTTTCTTGCCATATGATTACTGTTAAGAAGAATTTATGCTAACATGTTTGTGTCTGAACTTTGCACAGGTTCATGCCTGCATTTATTTTCTTAAAAAATAGAGCATATCATGATTGTTTTTTGTTCTTAATGGACTTTCTTTCCCCATTTGAAAGCATTCCAGGACTTCAGTAATACAGAGCTGCCAAATATCCCTTAAAGGATAAAGGATGTTTCTATCTCCATGTAGTGCTTTCTGCATGCAATTCTGTGTACACAAGCCAATAGTTTTTAACCTAGGAACTTCAAGCTAAGCTTCTAAATCCATATAGCAACACTTACAAAGAGAACACGGCCTTCAAAATATGAAAAGAGGAGTCTTCATAAACTTTTATTAAAGCCTCTGTTGTTGCAAACATTTATACTTACATGTTCCTTTAAGCAGTCCCATTGACTGAGGCGGTTTAGCCATTGACTTCATTATGTGAACTCCCTGTGTGTAAAATCAAGCCTTTTTTTCCAGAACTGAGAAATTTAGGTGTGGCAAAATGTTGTTTTAAATATGCCCTCAGCAGCTTATAACGCATTTCAAATTATTTGCGAAGTCGGTGCATCAAGTGAGATGTTTTATAGAAAGAAATACACAAGTCCAAGCATGGCAAGTGTTAACAGACTTTGACCTAGGAGGGTTTGGGAATCTTGCTCTGATCAGAAAAATGTAGTTTAAAATTCTACATAAGCTTTGTAAATACAGTAGAACAGGGTAGAGAGACAGAAAACAATTGCAATAAAACCACATGAAGTACAGTTTAGCTAGGATAAATGGTTGGAGTCTCATCTTCCTTGTGATTCTTGTTTGGAAGCCATGAGCAGAACAAACATTTTGGTGGAAGGGCTTGTTCCCATGGGACTTAGAACAGTTAGCAGAAAATATAGTGGAGAAACAATCCTAAAAAGACTAAGGAGGGACTTGGCAAATAGATAAATTCTTTCCCCCTACTGGCAGCCTGGCCACTCACATTAGTAGGAACAGAGGACACTGATAAGCGAGGTCTTTCCATGGCACTTACATTGGAGCTTTTTGGGGGGGGGTTGGCTAACAGTATCCTCCTTACATCTACTCTGTCCATGCTCACTGATGCTTTGAGATCATATTTGTGTCCATTTTCCCTGCAGCATCAATAAATCAAGAACTCTCCTATGTTTTTTCCAGTGTCATCCTGCATTACCACCTATAAGAAGACACCGCCTCCAGTCCCACCAAGAACTACCACCAAGCCGTTTATTTCCATCACAGCCCAGAGCAGCACAGAGTCTGCCCAGGATGCATATATGGATGGGCATGGACAGAGGGGAGACATCATCAGTCAGTCTGGACTTAGCAACTCCACGGAGAGCTTGGACAGTATGAAGGCGCTAACAGCTGCTATTGAAGCTGCCAATGCGCAGATCCATGGCCCTGCAAGTCAACATGTAGGGAACAATACTGCCACCGTCACCACCACCACAACCATTGCCACCGTTGCAGTAGAAGATAGAAAGAAGGACCACTTCAAGAAAAACAGATGCTTATCTATTGGAATACAGGTACGGTACAGGTCATGGATTATACATGTGCCATTGTCTATGATTCCTACATTTCTTTTACTGCTCGCTATGCAATGTTTTGTGTATTTTTCTTCTTTTCCTGACAGGTACCTATGTAGAAATTGCAGCGGCATAATCATTCTGCATGGTACTAATGATATTTCCTAATTTATCACAATAACATCAGATGCAAGGATTTAAGTCTCCTTGCTGCTTGTTATTCAGCTCTGTTAAATTGCACACATGAGCACTAATCTATGAATCATAACACAGTGGGGGTCAGAAAGGCATGAATTGAATCATTGAAAGGGAATGTGTAAAACAATGATTTACATTACACTATCGCCCAAAAAATATTTTCGTCCAGCTTCACTGAATTAATTGTCACTGCTTATTCATGCATTTCATAATGACTGGTAGCTGCTTGAATGAGGCAGCATTGTTCCTATCTCAGCCTCAAGAGCAGAGGGTAAGTTCCTTCTGATTTGCCCTTGTTAAAGAAAATTACATTTTGTTACCTCTAGTGGAATGAAATGAGAAAACTAACCCTGCCAAAGTTCACTCCTATTTACAGAAAGGAGAAGAGCAAATAAACTAGACCAATTTAATCTACTTCCTTAATTAATCTTTCCCATACCCCCCTACCAAATTAAAAAAAAAAAGAATGTGCATAGGACTTGAACTATCTGTTTCCAGGATTAGCTTTTGCAACAAAGTACTTGAATTTTCAATCAACTGAGAATCAACACGGGTTTTGATGGGAGATGAATCCCAAGCAAATACAATAGCAATCCACAGCTTATCAGTCTTCACAAGAAAACATGATTTTTTTTTCCTTGCAGATGGAGGTTGTAAGCACAGGGTTATGTGCCTGGGCAGGCTTATCTGATTAGCAAAGCCTAAGAATTTAACATGAAATCTCTGCATCAGCCTGATGAGATGAGAGGTGCTGTGTAGAAGTATACCATCCCAGGGGCAGCTCCTGGAGAAGCTGCAGACTTTTCTCTTACTTCTTCTTGGAAAAGCAATAATTACCATTGCCTGTGGGTTCAGATTGCTGCCTTTGTTGTAGCCTTTTTCTGCTTCATTGCCATTTGTTTTGGGTATATTCTGAAAGGGCTGATGTTCAGCGTTAAACACAGGAGGAAGATCCAGGTGGGAAAGAGATAGAGGAAAGCTCTTCTGTTACTTATTCCCACACCTAGCCAAGTCTAAGGTGCTGTTTTATTTTTGTAATCCCTCATTTCACTGAGCAAAGCAACAAAGACCCCTTAGCAGGCAAAACCCCTCCAAAATATCAGGTAGAAAGAAATAATATCCACATTTGTAGAAGCCAAAACAAACAACGGTAATGTGAATCGAGGCCCTTAAGACACTATCTCCCTGATGTCTCTTCTTAAGTAACAAATGCTGCTTTTGAGACGTATAGGGCCTCAGTTTCCTGAGGAAAACAGAGCAGAGCCCCAAATGCTGTTCAAGCCTTTGAAAATCTCCCTCTAAAACTTTGACATTTACAGATGTCCAACATAATCATACGTGAAAGCTGCCTGGAGGTGGTATGTGAGGGGCTACCAGGATAGTTTTTGTGTACAAACCAATGGAAATGCCTAAAGCTGGGATTACATGAAGCAAAACCTTCAGCAGTGATACAGCCTTACAGGATTCCTGCCTGTGCACTGTGCCACCTTCCTAGTTGTGCCCATTAATGAGATTTTTTGAGTCAGACAATCTTCACAAATAAAACTACTTTGCCAGTCCACCATCTGGTCCATTTTGCAGCATCATTGCACAAGCAGTCATGCTGGTACGGCTGAAGAGGTAGTGTAGGAGTAGAAATACCGTAAAGATTGTTGTTGCTGCCAGAAATTACTTCTCAGAAACAGCTGCCCTAAAATAGGTACGTAAGCTGTCGGCCCTCTGACTGGCAGTAGGAAGTCAGTCTCTCTCCACTGACTGTAAAGGGAGCCTAGTTTAGGCTTAGACTGATCTCAGACCAGGTATACACCTTACTTATAGCCTGGCCCATCTCCGTAGAGCAGGGCAAGCTGCTTTAGACAGAGGCATATTCTTGGTTTGCTTCCTCCTCAAATAAATAAATCTAATGTGCACTTGTGATGAACCTCTCTGCGTGTCCTTTGCACCCCTTAGTCACTCTTGGGACACACAAGCTTTTGCTGTAAATCTGTTTAGCAAACAAGTAAAGTAAAGCAAAGCAAAGAAAAACTCTTCCATCAAAAGGCTGCTTCTCTGTCAGTTATGGGATTTAAAGCACAGTTATCTCCCTAAAAGCCTTAGTATCAGTTAAGTACCCCACTGCACTGAACAGCTCTGTGACTCCCATTCCTCCTTGAGCACTTTTCCTGCACAGGCTGTTAACTGGCTTTCATCAACAAGCTTATTTACTGATGAAACAGGTGCTAGCTACAGCTGGAGATTTTATACACCCGAGGTCAGAGTGGATCCACAGGTCACTTTGTAACACTGCCGTGGTCCAAAAATTCTGTGTGCCAGAATTTTTTTTTCTTGTATGACTAACACTGTCATGTATAGCATTGGGAATTAACAGCTACACTGATTAGACCCAGAAGTTTGTGATCTGTAGTTAAGTTTTAACTTTATACTACTGGTATAAATCTCCTCACAGAGATGAAGAGGTGATCTAAAGTTCCTGCCTGTGCTCTTGGGGACCACCTGTTTGCATGGTGAAGCAGTAAAGAAAATGCATCCAAGAGCTGCATCTGCTTTTTTTAAATCTTATATGGACAGTGCCCTGATTCAGGTCACTAACATTTAAACAAAATAACAGGCTAACAGGTAAAATCAAGCAAATGGTGGAGCACAGTAAGTGGAGTTACAACTGCTCAGAGATTTGCTCTGGCAAATCTGAGCAGCCAGCTTCCATAAAATACTGGATAAACTCTATCTGCATTTTACAGGGTGAATGTTGTCTTACCAGAAATGCTTTATAGATTAACAAGAATTATGAATATTCACTAATAACATCAGAAATGGGCACACCACAGATAAACTGTCTGACAAGGTGAAGGTACTTATGATACAAGCTATATGTGCAGACACTTAGTAGTTATAATGCATAGAAATTGTAAGTAGCTAGGTGATATCTCTGCTAAATTGACTGGTTAATTTCTAATTAAACTGGTTAATTTCTTTTAAGGTTGATGGTGCTGAAGAATCCACCAAATCAGGTGAAAATAAAGCAACCAGCAAGTTCCAGTCCATAGGAGTTCAAGTAGAGGAAGAGAAATGGTGAGTAAAAGTTAATCTTGTTTTTCTAAAGTAAATAATTATGTCACAATTCATTTTTAAAAGCCCTAGTTCCTGTATGCATGACCATATAAACCTGCTTCCTGGAGGAATTGTTAGATCACCCAACTGAAAAGCTGAGTCTTATAAATGCTGGAGCTGTTATTTCTCAGAGATTTTTCAGGACCAGTGGAAGAACTGGAAAAAAGTGCCACATATTTTGAAATTCAATCAACTTTGAATAAGCTGTTTTTCCCCAGAAAATCTACCTAAACAGCAGAAGGTGATGCAGCTGGAGTACTAGTGTTGGGATGGCTGCAGCAGCATAAGTTGATGGGGAAGTTTACCTTGTTTTTCAGCAGAGTAATTTCAGCCACGTGGAGTGGTGAAGCAACAGAGCCAGACTGGTTGCTTTTACTCTAGGTATCTCACCCAGACATCTCTGCATTACAACTGCTCCCTTGCAAAAAAAAAAAGTTGAGATTAAAAAGCAAGCCTGTTAAACTTGATTCTCTCTCCAATCTGCAGTGTAACCCAAATTAGTAAACAAATATGCTCCAATAAAAATGAAAAAAAAAACCCCAACTAGAATAGTTGTTGTCTTAAAGGTTATGTTTCTTTTTGATGACAAATTGCAGTTATGTTGCAGGGCAGCATAACTGTGCAGAGCACTTTCCAGATACATAAAATTTCTGCGTGCTTGTCCACAACTGCAAATCCCAATTCCTGCCCAAAACTGGACCCGGTGGCTGAAGAAAAGCCGGACTCTCCTCTCACCTCTGTGCGTTCAGGCCTGCCTGCAAGTCTTTTGTTTGCATTTTGGAAGCCGCTTGGGCACAGCATAACTTTTGGATCCTGGAGCCACTTTGTTGATAACTCGTTGTACCATATCTTAGGAGAAGCCTTGGAACCGTATGGCTTGTCAGTGAGGGAAGAGTTGCCCTTGCAATCTCTCCAGAGAAAACCTGGGTGCGGCAAATCTCAGCTGACAAAATTAGGGCCCTCTGCCCTCCTCTGGCCCATCAACTGCAGTAGTGAGTAGAGGAGATATCCTTTTTCACACGTTTTTTTTTTCCTACGACTGCTACAAAGACTCATAAATGGCATGTTATCTACATAATTTTAAATTCAACAAAATATCCCCATAAAGTAACAGAATATTTTCATGTGGCTTTAAAAGGCTAAACTGATTTCAGCTAAAAGAAATGTGATTTTGCAATGACCTGGCTAGGCTGTTACCAAGTTCCTCATTAACCTGCTAAAACATCTCTTACTGGCAGACATTTCTTTATGTGTTAGACCTTAGCCCCGTTTACCCACAACTCTTCCAGCACTAGATAAATGAGCACATTAGAATAGATGCTGAAGGACCATTTCCCTTCAGCCTGAGCACAAAGGAAATAACTACCCCAAAAGCCCAACCCTCCCCCTCTCCGCCAAAAAAAAACAAAATCCCAGAAAAAGAAACGGCTGTTTGTAAATACCTTTCTTCTAAAGTCCTCTTGCTATTGAAGTTTTTATTGCTCCAGAGAAAAAGGTAAGATTTGACTGTGAGGGTCTGCCCTGAGAAAGCAATACTTCTGCATTACCTACTGACAGCTGTGTTTAGGGATTTCCTTGCTGATAAAGTTGAGGTTGCTGCTGTTAGGAGCAGCAATCTATCATGGACTTTCAGAAGTGAACTGGCTGATAAAGGACAGCCCCTAATCCTTAGAAAATGAGTGCACTCAAGACACAAAGAGTTTATCGTCACAGTTTGGCACTCATATTCCTTTTTTTTTAACATAGCAGAGTACAATGTATTGATTATCTGTTACAGGAATAGAATGGTAAATACAGTGCATTCTTCCCTGCCCCTGCACCATAACACCTGCAGAGCCTCAGAAAAGCCCTTTTGAGTTGAATCTTTGACAAATGTTTTTAAAAATCTTCCAGGCTTCAGAAATATTAAATAATTATAAAACAAGAAGAGAAGAATGACACAGCACAGAGGAAAAATGCAGTAAACTGATCGTATTTCCTTGCCAGTCTAAGCTATTAAGTGCAGTTATAAAACAAGAAAGCTCTTTGTTTAATGCATCAAAAGGCTACCATACAAAATTTCTTTCACTCTTCTTTGCCTCCTGCTCTTTCTTCCTTTCCCTCACCTCATATGACTGTCATTCTCACACAGAGTCTTACCTTCTCATGTTGTTTTAAATGTTTCTGCTTCTGTGCTTGGACCAAGTAAGCAAAAGATGTTGCCTCCATTTCTTGATCTAAGTGTCTCAAAACCAGAGCATCTTCAGGGGACAGCTCTATGTCTTTTGTCTTCCATCTCGACTCAGACCTCTCATTAGCCCTTCACTCTCTGTAACCTGGGCTTCCTGCCAACACAAATGGCTCTGAGTCCTCCTCCTCCTTCTCTTGTACTGCTCAAAGGATAAATGTGCCTACCGCTACCTGACAATATTACAATTGAATCCATCACTGCTATTCATCTTATCCTCAGTTCTTTATGCTGCCTGATCTCAATAATCTTTTTCGTGCCCATTCCCTAAGTGGAGCTCTACAATTTCTAGCATTTACAGAGTACCTCTGTCCAGTTCTTTTTGTGGAAAAACACTGGCATGCATTTCTTTCAGTGGTAACCTCCTGATCTTCCTGCTGTTACTCTTTTATCTCTCACTTGATCTGCTCCATGATGCTAACAAAACCCCAACCAAAATATTCCTCCCCTTTCCTCCTTTCCACCCCTTCCAGGGCAATTTTGCAATGTGTATCTAATTAAGCTGATCAGTGCAATCTCTGGCCACATCCATTTCTGTCCATCTCTGTTTGTCCTTCGTCTCTACCTGCAACTTCTTCTTGACCTCAAGGGATCACCTTCCATTTGTCACTTACACAGATAATTGAGTTGTTGGAAGTCAACCAGTTCTACTGAACCAGAAAAGAAGTCATATATTGTGCCAGGCCAGTTAACACACGTCCTTATTGAACAATTGATTCTCAGTCATATAGCTTTGTATTCGCTTTTAGTCTCTCTTGCACTTTGTCTGCTCCAAGATCTCCCCATTACATCCTCACCCCCAGAATTGTCTTGTTCATTGCTCCAGTCATACCATCAGCTGGTAATTGTACTTGGTTTGCCATCACAAGAATTTATTAATGCTGAAACAATGGTAGTTTCTGAAGTAAGGAAAAGCCCAAGCAGCACTTGAAGCTCCATCATGTTTCAAGGGAGATTGATGGATGGAGATTAATTGATTGATTGCTGGTTGGGTGACACACATGGGCTGGCTGCACTAAGGCCTCAGTTTCCAGCCCACAGCATTTCCGGCCACCGCAGAGGAGCAGGGCCTGCTCCTCTTCTCTCGGGTGGGGCAAACTGCATCCTGGTGTGCATCAAACACAGCACAAACAGTTGGTCAATTGAGGTGGTTATCCTGTTGTATTCCACATTGGTGTGGCCTCACCTTGAGTACTTTGTGCAGTCCTGGGCCCCACAATTTAAGAAGGATGTTAAGGTCCTTAAAAGCATCCAGAAGAGAGCAACAAAGCTGGTGAAAGGGCTGGAAGGCATGTCCTATGTGGAGCGGCTGAGGACTTTGGGCTTGTTTAGTTTGCAGAGGAGGCTGAGGGGCGGCCTCATTGCTCTCTACAGCTTCCTAAGGAGACGAAGCAGAGAGGGAGGTGCTGATCTCTTCTCCCTGGTATCCAGTGACAGGACGCATGGGAATGGTACAAAGCTGCACCAGGGGAGGTTTAGACTGGACATTAGGAAGCATTTAATTACCAAGAGGGTGGTCAAACTCTGGAACAGGTCTCCTAGAGAGGTGGTCAGTGCATCAACCCTGTCAGTGTTTAAGAGGCATTTGGACAATGCCCTTAACAACATGCTTTAACTCTTGGTAAATCCTGAAGAAGTCAGGCACTTGGACTAGAAGATCACTGTAGGTCCCTTCCAACTCAGACAGTCTATTCTAACATTGGCCTAAGGGATCACATTTTCCCTGCTAAGACTCTTAGTAATGAAAAAAGACTATGTGAATAGGAGAAAGGTTAAGGATAGAGCAAAGCACACAAAATTGTGTAGCTTGAAGATGTTGGTTGAAGCTCTCACCATTAGAAGACATGGTACCGTATCTGCTAACTCCTTCTGCACTTTATTTTGTTCTGCTGACAGCAGCTGCAACCTTAGCAGAGAAGCCTACAACTGAGAAAGGGTGCAGCATATGGGTAAAGTGAGGGAGGATGAATTTAATATAAGTGCCTCTGAGGCTCACAATGCATCATTTGGTTTGAAACCTAGATCTTCTCTGGGTTCTGGGAGGTTTTTTAGGAAAGAAGTTCTCCGAGTTTAAATGTAACCATGTTTTTCAAAAGAAAGCAAAAAAGGACTTAGAAGGGAAGAGTCATTGACCCTGTTGTTGCTGTTCAAAACACATCGTGCTGTTGTTCTCCATACTGGTTTATCCAGTCTGAGGTTTCATGGTGTTCTGCACCTTAGGCCAGATGTCTGCTGCACTTCTCTAAAGCTGTAATTATTACACCTTGTGCCTGCAGGGCACAACAGATTACAAAAGGGCCAAGCCTGAAAGTAGAGGAAGAAGCAAATCTCTGTTTTTCACAATTATCAGTAATTTATGAAAACTTTCATTTTTTTTAGGTAGGCCTGTGAATGTTTTATATGTGTAGAAATTACAAAAACTTAGGCATTAGATCCAGCAGCTCTCCTATGATACAGAGTTTAAACTGAGAGCAAAACGGAAGGACTCATGTGGGACACAAATGTTATTTTGTGAGTAAAACATCCTGGAAGTGAGTGAGGAAGCTATGTCAGAGACTAAAATTACCATCTATTAGGCAGTTTATATAGATGTGCTGGAGGCAGGCAGATAGTGGGTGCCTTCCTCCATTTCCATTTCATTCAACATACATTTCCTTGAGAATATTTTTTAAATTTTGAACTGATGGCTATATTCTATTGCCAAGTTGTTTTTCTTTTGAAGACAGATAGGTTACACAATCCAGTGCCAAGGATCTGTCGAGCAAGTCTGTAGCATACTATTATACAGGTAAAACAAAGGCAAAAAGAGTAGGTCATTCTATTTTATTTGTTGAGCAGAGTCTGGTTTTGATGGTGCTAGCTCATACAGTAAGAGTACACACCTGAAAGCTTTGAAACCTAATGCCTCCAGCAATACAGCATCTTGGCAAGTAGACCTTGATGTTTTCACATTTGGGATTTGGTGTGCACTGAAAAGCCAGGATGTTAATTGTAAATACAAATGGTCATCTGAAACAGAAAAATATCAGAGTCTAGAACACTGGTGAAATCAGAAGGCAGCTGTGATGAGGAAATTGGGGCATGGAGAAGCATGAGCCTAGATTAAGGCATTTGCTTTTCTTTCTAGTTCCTTGGAAGGTGTGGAAGAGTACATCGTGTACTAATGCTTTGGCTGTCAGTGAACCCTAACTGAATGACTGAAAAGAAATCCTGTGTGGGCACATGTTTTGTGTGTGTGCATGCATGCATACACACATATGCACGCACGCATGCACTTCAGTGCAGATAAGAGATTTGTCAGGTTGGTGGCCAAATTAAAACGTTTTTTAAAAAAAACTTGCATAGATTGAACCAAAAGATGTTCATTGTAATGCCAGCCTAAAACTCAAGTCTTTCAAACCGCTAATACCAGTCTAACAGCTTTTCTCTGCAAGAGTAGCAGATACTTAGGAAAAGTATAAAGAAGTGTAAAGGAGAAGTATAAAGGGTGTGTATAAAGCACTGCTTCTCCCAGTAGGCCTTCCCAATTTAGCAGTCTGTTGTTCGTGGACTTCCTAAGCCAGATATGACATCTGTGTAATAGCTCTTCCTGGACCTATCTCCTGTGAATTTGATCAGGTTCTCTTTGAACCTATTTTTACCTTTGGTTTTCCCAGGATCCCATGGCAATTTAATTACACATTGTGTGAAGAAATACTTCCTTTCACTAGATGTAAATCTTTAGATGTCTAAGCCTTGCAACTGGCTGCCTTCCTCCCCACAGTTCTTGCACTCTGAAAAGTGGTGAAACAGCACCTAGTCAGGATTTCATAGGGCTCTCGTTACCCTCCTCAGCCATCTGTTTTCTAAACTAAGAAATGTCTGAAGCCACACCGTATCTCCAATGATCCCTGTCCTCCCTTTTGAACTTTTTTTGCTGTATCAGTCCGTAGCAAAATGCTTTGCTCTTCTTGTCAAAGGATAAATACTACTGATCTGAAGAGTTCTGCTTACTTCATATTTTTCAGTTTGCTGGTGCGTATTGTGAAAAAACTATGGTGGCATAACCATGACTTTTGCATCGTTCAGGTTTCAAGCAGAAAAGTTGCTTGCAGAACTGCAAGCAGCAGATGCTACATCAAAATGTTTGTATTCTAGGCCATTATAAAAATGTATACACAGTCTATTATTAAAGTTTTCCAGAGATTGGTATGACTGATAAGTTAATTTGGACTATCTTCTGCAGAGGAATTAGCCTTTTTTTTTTAAGTTGGAGAACCCTTCTCAGCTCCTGTTTTGCTTTGTTCTACTCCTCTCAAGGCCCAGATCAATAGCCACTAATTTATTAGCAGGACTTGATACAGTCCTCCCTGAAGTTTACTGCGTTCCTCCTGAGGTACCTGGATGCATCAGATATATAGGACATTAAAACCTCTCTCAGCATCCTTCCATCTGCTGCCTCCTCAACTGCAGACTGAATACACTTGACAAAGTTTTGCTGTCACTTGGACTTGTCTAATCAGCTGTTGCTCTTCAGTGGAAGGTCAAATAGGGAGTTAAATAGTGCCCAGCATCCAGCTCCACTCTCTCCTTGGCATTTTCATTGCTGTTTGAGCTCAAATAAATATAAATATTTTAAAATATAAAACTATTAAGGGCAAAATAGCCTAAATATCACAGGGAAGCAGGTCCTAACACTGGTTTCAAGACTAAATGTGAGATTGTAAACAAATCAGAAGCGAAGTACCAGCTGCATGAGTGTGCAGGCTTGCTGGATTAGTAAGAAGGAGGGACGGGAACCTGTCCCCATTCAGTTCAATACTATGCTTATTCTGAAGCCTAAAAATTACTAATTTAAGTAACATCTGCATTAATTGCTTTATGACTCTACTTTCTTTATCTCCTTTCATCATGCAGCAGGACAGATGTGTCCTCTCATATTTTTCCTGTGTTCCTTGGTGCATCAGTTTCTAGAGATACCCCAAATCTCTGTAATTATTTGCCTGCAGATTTTCCACCCATTCCCTCCACAATTTAGTACTTGTGGTATCTGCTTTCACTACTACCCCCTGCAACAGTATTAGGTGTCTCTTACGCCTTACACATCCCTCTGCTCCTTCTCTATCAGCTTGTTCACCTCGGATGCCTTGGACTGCAGAATTTGGGGTGCTGTTTACTTAAATCAAAAAACACCTAACCCCAAAGCCCCAAACCTCCTCTTTCTCCTGGTTTTGCCTTTACCCTCAGGGTTTGCTCTTTGCCCTCAGAGGCTCCAACACTGGGAAACTATGCAAGGTGAAAGGAAGCTACCTACAGGGTAGCAGCCATCACAGGAGGGTGATATAGACAGCAACTGAGAATGTTAGCTTTGGTGAAAAAGAGACCATTTTGAAACTGAGGGCTGGATGTGAAAAACAAACTGTCTTAACAGTGGGAATGGGTGCAAAAATTGTGAGAGATGGCAGTGGTATTTGCAGAAATAGTAAATTAGCAGGTACATACTTCTGAAGAGTAATTATGAAAAAGCTATACAAAATACTTATCTGGGTTAAAAAGACTTTTCTTCTCTCTAAATGGAATGTGTAACATTAAGTAGACAGTGGACTCCTTGGTATCACTATCTTGTCAGTCTCATGTGTATGATTTTTAAATGTGGCTTGTGAGTTTGAGTGTGCAACTTCAAAGAGGTGTGAGTTTTAAAAGTTGAAAGGTAAGTCACTTCTTAAAATTTGCCCCCTTTAACTTTTCATTATTTGGTAGCCTATAATCCTGAGCTATTGACACTATGAGCTGTCTCTTGGGCCAGCCTCTGGTTTTGTTAAACCACAAAACAATTAGGGGTATTTGCCTCAGTAAACAGTGAGCTTGCATGTAAAAAAGAGAGATGTGTTTCTTGGCTTGCAGTGAGAAAACAACTTTATGCTGATCATTTAAAGAAAAAACACCTGAGCGTAGCACCCAGATCCCTGACTGCCAGTCTTTGCAGGAGTGGCAGAATCTTACTAAGTCCTCTCTTGCCAAGTTACCTAGAAAAAGCTTTCTAAACCTTTTGTGTTTGTGCTCTCCAAAGCTTTCGCAGGTTTACACGATCTAATAGTGTAACAACAGCCGTGCAAGCAGACCTGGATTTCCATGAGAACTTTGAAATAATCGACCCTCAAGAGGACAATACATGTTCTGGACAAATATCAAGACAATTTTCCCGAGATGCAAGCACCTCTACCGTTAGCATACAAGGGTCAGGAAACCATTACCATGCATGTGCAGTGGATGATGACTTTGATACAGATTTTGATCCATCCATTTTACCTCCTCCTGACCCCTGGATTGACTCAATCACTGAAGACCCCTTGGAAGCTGTTCAAAGGTCAGTGTGCCCACGAGATGGCCACTGGTTTCTGAAGCTACTTCAGGCAGAGAGAGATCGTATGGAGGGCTGGTGCCAACAGATGGAGAGAGAAGAGCGGGAAAACAACTTACCTGAGGACAGTAAGTAACTGTGTACAATAATATTGCAACTACACCAAAGTATTTTAATATAGGCCAAATTTACTCCAGTGAATTCTGTATCATGCCCTTTCTTATTGAGCTAATGAAGCTGTGGTCATGATTCTCAAAAGGACTGTGTGTATGTATATAATAATCCTTATTAAAGTTGACGGGGAATGCAAATGCTCGGCACTTCTGAAACTCCAGAGGTATTAGCTTTTGGGATTGCATAGTTCAACGGATAATTAGGAGATCGTGGTTAGGGATCTTGTAGTATTAATGTTTCTTAACTCTTCCATTTGAATCACTTCTCTAAACCTTAGAATATAATTGAACAGATTCTAGTTCCTTTTCATTAAATTATTTTAGCTGCCTTTTTAGATGGTGATTGGCATCAAAGTCTTCAGATGCTTCTCCCAGCTGAAAGAGATTTCAGTTGTGCTTCCAAGTTGTTCTCCTTCTCTTCCCCTCTCCAGTCTCCCCTCATTTCTCTTGCAGTTTTCATTCGTCTTTGATATTCCTGGTAAAACAAACTCTTTGTCTTCTGTGATAAAAGCCACACACACATAGACTACATCTCAGTTGTCACCACTGCCAGAAGTATTACCCCACCTGTAAGGCAAAGGGAACGTCTAGTAAGCCTTCATTATTAAGAAGGGTTGGGTAGCTCATGACTTACTCTTTCACTCTAATTAGAGAAGAAGAGCTGAACACATAGCTCCCTGTCCAGAATTTTTTCTCCCAGTAAAAATGGAAGTTTTTTCCATTTAATTCCATTACAAGGAGCAGAACTATTGATAGCTGTCAACTTTTGGACATAGTGAGCTTAGGGGCATGCTCCTTGAGAATGAAGCTTTTTCAAATTCTAGCAGAGAGCTTCTAGAAAACACTAAGGAACAGCTGCATAGATAGAGTTCAATGTTGTATAGGCACACCTGCATGTATTTTCCTGGATGTAGCAAATTACATTTTTCTGACCCCCAAACAGCTCCAAACAGCAAGGTCTACTGCTTCAGCTCCAGGATTGATTCTTCTAAATTTCTAATCCTTCATCTCAAGAAAGGAGGCACTAGAATTCTTTTGAGATGCGAAAGCTTTGATTTATGGAAGGAATTAACATTGGTAAAAATATATTGGTTTACATTCTTAGAAATGCATAAGCTGTTTCTGCTGGAACTTTCCATTCAGCACAATGAAAGAAATAACCATAGAGAAGTTTGGTCTAGATAGTGAAAGTTAGACACTATTGTAAGCAACTGGAAGTTGACTTCTAATGGAAAGTATGAGATAACCGTAACATTATGTCAAGATTTTCTATTTCTACAAAAATTCTGTTATATAATAGGCTAATGATTTCTACTGAGGGAAAATATAGATGGATTAGTCTTTCAAGAAGATTAAAATTCCCCAATTTTTAGAGTATTTGAACCTCATCTTTAATTTACATCATCAATACTATCAAAAATCTCTTGGAACATGTGTCAGAATACAAAGGTTTAGGCTTTGAGCAACCTGATCTAGTGGAAGACGTCCCTGCCCATGACAGGGGAGTTGGACTAGATGATCTTTAAAGGTCCGTTCCAATCCAAACCATTCTGTGATTCTATGATTCTATGAACTGATAGTAATGGGAAAACCTACAAGTGTTTTATTTGTGTACCAAAGTAGTTATTCACCCTGGAGAAAGAACATGAAGTGAATTTTACAAAGCTGATACACAGAGAATGAGTGTATCCATGTACAGAATTTTCTCTCAGTGTCTTGGTGACTTTTATATACGATAGTTTTAAAGGGATCTTCTTTGAGCAACCAGTGGGATAAGTCAGTTATGGGGAAGATAAAGGAGTGGTTAGGCTGGCTATTCCCAATGCCTTCTTACAGTGCATATGGCATGTGTCCTGTGGATTATTCCTCTTCATTTTTCTGACTGGCACTTCTCATGATTGCTGGAAATGGAAGGAGGAAAGGGGTCGCCCATGTTTTGTCATCACTGGTGAGGTACTAATTTCAGTGTGACATCATCGACCGCTCTAGCACATGGCAGCTGCCTCCTGCAGAGGCTGCACTGGGCTGTCTGCTGTGGCTCAGCATGCCTCACTCTACCTGGTGCCAAGGAAAAACATATGTTCGGGGCCATGTTGCCTGCAGCACCAGAAACAAAAGCCTGGCTGTTACAAACCCTGCCCCAAAATATGTCTTCTTCATACATCTATGAAGAGAGGGAGAAAAGGAGCTGAAGAGGTGTGTCTGCTTTGGCTTTCCTAATGAAATATAACCAGAGCAGGGAACGCATCCTTTGTTTTCAGCCTGACATCCCCAGCGTGTGTTTGGCCAGATAACAAAATAACAAGAACGTGTGATGAGAGAGTTTTTCTCGATGCCGTGGCAGCTGACAGAGGGCTCATCCCCCCAACGCTCCGCGTAAAACGATCCGCTCTTTCCTTGTGCAAAACAGCTGTCTCAGGGAGACGGCTCGCTGCTGTCTGACAGTGGCTTGTATGTTACAGAGATACGTTGGGTATTATCTAGCTGGGAATGAATCTACCAGATGGGACTGAATGTTTCTAGCTGAGAAATGGAGTCTGCTGCTGTGTATAAAAACAAGCTGTGGTTCAGTGGCTGCACGATTAAATGCCAATATAGAGAGAAATGTGGCTCCCCTTCCTCCATGAATTATTTATTGTATAGTATATTCTCGTTTTAACTGAAATCATTTTTGGATAAAGCCACAGAATGTGTAACAGGCAGATGAATACCACTCACACTTTAGGCTAGGATACTTGAAATGGTTTCCATGTATTTTGCTGTTACAGGGATGTTGGCTACAAACACTAATGCTCTTATAAAATCAAAAAAAAGATGTTAGAGATATAAAGCTAAACACCTTGAGAGAATTGATTGACACTTTGGATCAGGCCTCAAGTGAAATCATTTACCTTTTTTTTTGTTTCTTTTCTCCTCAACCTTCCTACCTCTCCCCTGCAAAATTTCATATAGTCAGAGCCTCGCCACTGATGTTGATGACTTTTGGCTCAGGCCTCTGGAATAACTAATTAAACACAGAATTAGCAGCAACAGGCCTTGCTGTTAACGTGCAGCCTCTGGCCTTGTTTTTTCACAGCAGCAGTGAGCACAGGAACATACACCTACCACCTTGGCCTGGCTTTTCCAGGATTTTTTGCTGTTTGTTTTTGGTTTTGTTTTTTATTTCATATGGGCCATTAACCTTTCTGGAAGAACCAGTGGGCTTCAGTTTGCCTTGCTTCAGAAATGTTTCTCTTTCACGTGGGGTTGTAATGTGGCTCCGATGCAAAGATAACCATTGGAAGAAAACAGTGGGCCCGATTCACCACAAATCAGGTGTAATGTGGGTTTAGTGGCGAGATAAGTCAGGCCAATCAAGTAAAAACTAAAATAGAAAACCAAGGCTCTGACAAGACATGTCAGTATAACTGTCTTACATGTATGTTATACTCCTCTGGGCTAGTTTGCGCACAAGGGTTGATTTAAATCTGCAATAACCTCCCTGCTTAGGACTAGTCTCTGCAAATTCAGTTCTGGGAAATTATGCAATGTTTGCACACTTGCTGCTTTTTTGTTTTGATTTTTTCAATAGAAAACTTAAAAAAGTGAAGGCTAGACACAAGAGAAGAAAGTTAAGGAAAAGACAGTCTTTTTGCAATAGTTGTGCATGGTAAAAGAAAAGGAGATCCTTGAATTCAGTCTCAGTCATGAGCAAGAAAACCCATTTTCCAGTCCTCTGCAGGCCTTCCCCAAGCCATCCTGGTCCCTGCTGCTCAAAGGTGTGAGGCCATCCTGTGATGGGCTGATGCAGCCTTGCAGAGTGACAATCCCTCTTGCAGAGACCAGCTTGACATGTGGCCCAGTCCTGCTGGAATCTCCCTGGCTACTTGCCCAATTCATCCTTTTCTTCCTCCGGTTTTGTTTTCTACCCAGAAGGGACTTCTCCATTTGTGAGGGTTTCTCCAGGGAAAGCCAGCTCCAGGCTGGGAGTGCTGCAAGTGTCCAAAGGCTAGCAAGGAAAGAAGAGACATTTGCAAGCAGTGAAACAATAGAGTTAGGCAAACCAACATGAAGTGTGCTAATAAAAGCCAAGTAAGTCAGAGAACACATGGAAACTGCTTTACTCCCAGTGAACAGCACTTACTCATGCAGACAGCCCTATTAATTTCAATGAGATCACTCCTGTAAGTAAGTATGACTCAAAGCAAGGAGTGCGCCTTCCATAACTTGCTCCATTTGGCTGTTTTCTCCTTAAAAACCGAGCTTAAGACCTGAGTAGTAGCTCTAACTTTGAATTTCCTGCCTTTTGTCATGCTTGGTGTTATTTAAATGTAGGTCTGTCAAGATGAATAGGCTAAAATGCTGGTCCATCCTGGCTTGGAAATGGATTGTGACAGCTCTATGGCAGGATTGCTTCATATGCACAGTGCCCAGCCAACATCTGCAACGCAAATGTCAGGCTGTGTCCTTGTAATGTCGGCTATTGTTCCTGCCACTTGCTCCTGGGGCAATGAGCACGTCGCTGGTTTTCGGTTCCCTAGCTTGCCCCTGCCTACCAACCAGGTGTCTTCACATTAAGGGCATTTGATAGTCACAGTCCTGAAGTGCCTTCTTTGTCGCTTGTTAGACCCTGGGGCCTGTCAACGTGGAAATTTGAAGAGATAAGTTGGTGTTTTAAGGCCAAATAATGCTGCTACTCCTCAAAACTCCAGTGGCTTGTACATGATGACTTTTCACACCACTTCGGGTGTTTTTTGTTGTTGTTTTCTTGTATTTTGTTATCCTTCTTACACACAGTCTTCTTCCAAGGTGATTACAATATCACCAATTCTTTACTTTTGTTTGAAGTTATTTTGTTTTCTCATTGTTTCATTTCTTTTCCCATTCAAATGGAGGGAGGGAGAGAAGATACACAGAGCTCTGCATTCCCAAAGTAGGTCCTATGCAGTTCTTAGAACCGAGAGAAGAAAGTTACCTTATTACTTGAACAGCACATGTAGTCTAAGTTTATATTTAAGAATGTTTTAAAAGGAGAACAGGTTGTGGGGTTAGAGACACAAGGAAATT